TTTAATATATTTTAAATATTTAAATGTTAATTATAGTAATATTTTAATATTTAATAGGAATTTTATTGTGATTATACTGACAAGATTTAAACAAATATATATTTATCACAATATGACGCAACTTTATCATCTACAGATGGAATATTTTACTGCGGCAAGGGAGACGGGGGTCTAGGTTTTCCTAAGCTGGAGCACCTGGTAACACGAGTGAGCCTAGGTGCCGGGCTCAACTTCACAGAATCCAGGGATCCAGCTATTCGAGCTCTCTCCGGTTGCGCCAACACGATTGCGCGTCTCCGACGGTTGGCGTTATCAGTAAGATTGCCCTTTCCATTTGTGAAGGACGATCTCCAGAAATTTAAAATAAGAATGCAGAAGGAGGAGCTCAAACGATGGTCTGAGTTAAAGGCCCAGGGGATGCGGTTAAAAATTTGGCTGGCGACAAGGTGGGTAATTCATTTTTATATGATCCCAAACTTTTGAAGCCTTGTCGATTCATAACTGCTTTGCAGCTTAGAACTAACACTGCAGCAAACAAGACCAGCCTTAACCATGCTATACCCCAGGCGAGTCTGAACTGTCGTAAATGTGCATCGGCCAAGGAGACACTTGACATATACTGGGCCAATGCACATTTACAAAGGCAGCTAGGATTCGCCGCCATAATGAAATTAGAGATTTCATTATGGACCAGGTTTTGAAAAAAGATGTTACGGCAGAAGTAACGAAAGAACCTGAACTCGTTAGCGTTGAGGGGAAACTCAAACCCGACCTGGTCATAAAGAACCAGTTAGGGGTCTTCGTGGTCGATGTAACCGTCCGCCATGAAGATGGGGAGTACCTGAAAGATGCTAAGGAAGAAAAAGAACAAAAATATGGTGTTCTTCTGCCGGCCATGCAGCGGGAGCGGCTTGCTCCGTCAGCTGAGGTCCTGCCCATTGTTGTTGGGACTAGAGGTGCTATGCCCGCTGATACCATCGAATGTCTTGTAAAGTTGGGCATAGCGAAGCGCCATCAGAAGACTATTTCCCTGATGGGGCTTAGAAGTTCAATAGAATTATATCATGCTTTCTTGGACTACGACCATCAAATCCTCTAGCTTCAATGGGCGGGCTACCTGCTCATACCTGGGGGTTATAACTTCTCCTAACCAGTGCAGGTTCCCCAGCTATGTAGTAGGTGAGGGTCTCGAGTTCAACCCTCCAAATGGCATAGCCCACTCTTTATATAAATATTAAAATGTTTATCTTTTAATTTGGCTAGTAAATAATTTTCTAATTGTATAACGGTCCTATACACCGCTATATTTTAAACTCTCATCTCTGTTATTTGTTTTAAATTTTATCTTTGTTATGCGGTCCTTTACACCGTTATTGTTAAATTATCAATTTGTTATTCTAGTGTACATGTACAAATTATACACCTTCATGTGTTTTGGTGTTTGTACATGCGTACAATTTTAACTCGTACATGTACATATTTTATGAACTTTGTTATCTTGTGTTAAATAATTTCTTCCTCCTTTGTAGGAGTTTGTACTTGCAGTACAATTGTATCCAGTACATGTTGTACAAGTATTATAAGTTAGTATTAGGTACCTTTTTAACACTGGAGCGGGGCTCAGCCAGCATAAGCGCCACCGTCATCCTTTAGAGAGAAATGCTGAGAGGATAGCTTCGGTCACGCGGCCGGAAACAACTGCTTCACGGCCCGGGAGGGTTTTCTCCCTTGAGGAAATTGAGACTATGCTGGATCTGGAGCAAACACTGAAGGGTGATCCGCGCATTGCCATGCGAATGGCAGAAATAATGAAATCTAAGACCGCTAAACAACTTAGGGATAAGCGTAATGACCCACCGAACATTGCTAAAAGGCAAGCGAGACTCGCACAGGAACATGTTGGAGTGGACCTCGAGAACACCGAAGAAGGTGACCTCAATTCTCATAGAGTTCATCGAGATCAAGATGATGAAGGCCATCGGAACGAAGATGCATGCATTTTGTATGCAGATCATGGAAGTATGGAAGATGACTGGAACTCACACGTAGTCAGCCAGACTAGTGAAGAAGACAACTGCATCTTACATCCAGACCTTCAATACCTAGGAGACTGTAATCCATCTACAGTCTACCGGAAGGACGATGCTTGTGTCCCAACTGTTGAGGGCGACTGCATCTCGTATGAAATCCGCGAGGTGAATGAAGTGAATGACCAGGAGACACATGAAGTCCATCAGGACCAGGAAGATGGCAGCGCCCTGCCAACAGACTACGATGCTGAGGCTCTTTGGAGGGAAGAGCTGGTGAGTTCGTTGAACGCCCTCAAGGGCTTTGAGAAACAAAAAGACGTCGCTGACGTAATGAATGCAATCAAGGAAGCAGCAAAGCGGCCTTGTTCTCTACATATTTTAGATGATTTATATGCCGCTATCTTGAAAATTTTAACTAAAGTCGCATCTCCGATTGCCCCCATTAACTACTCCAAGAAAAAGAGGGCAGAGGGGAAAAATAGGAAAAGGAGTACTAAACGACATAGATATGCCAGAACACAAACCCTCTTCAAAAAGTCTCCCGGACTCTTAGCTAGACATATTAGGATGGGTACCGACTTTGCAGCCCAGAATACTGAAGAGTTGGATAGACAGGAGATTAAATTGTTGTATGATAGCCTCTGGGGCACCAAGCCACACCTGCGGCAACCTGCCCCAATTGCCACCTCAGAAACCATCCCTCCGAGATCGTTCCTGAAAGCAATCACTCAGGATGAGGTGTGTATGAGGATGAAGAGGATGAAGAAGGCCACGGCCCCTGGGCCGGATGGCATTAAATTGGAAACATTAAGTAAGGAATCCATAAAAACTTTGCTATGCGCGTTGTATAATTTAATTTTAATTTCGGGGAATTTACCATCAGATTGGAGCCAAAATCGTACCACCCTAATCCTCAGTCGCCTCTTCTGGGGCATTATAGATCAGAGACTGAGGATGGTGGTGAAGCAGAATCCTAGGCAAAAAGGGTTCGTGGCGGAGACAGGCTGCTTCGCCAACGTCCAGATTCTGCTGGAAATTGTTAAGAGAATGAAAAATGAGAACGGTGGAATTGGCATTCAGCTGGATATAGCCAAGGCATTCGACACCGTTCCTCACGAAGCCATAGGTCCTGCCCTGGCCAGGAAGGGTATTCCTAAGTGTTTTCTAGACCTAGTGGCGGGTTCATATAAAGGTGTGCAAACCTCCATATCACACCCCAAAGGGGACATTAGCATCTCCCTTAAAAGAGGGGTGAAGCAATGAGACCCTCTTTCGCCCATCCTTTTTAACTTGATCATGGAACCCCTGCTGGAGGAGTTGGAGGCTATGCCGGGCTATGAAATTGGTGAAGAAAGTATCTCGTGTCTCGCATTTGCCGACGATCTATTCCTTTTTGCACCTGATGTCGCAAAAGCACAAGCCCTCCTAGATCACACTGTTGAATATTTAGGTGCGTTAGGCATGGGAATATCCGCTAACAAGAGCTCGGCGTTCTAGGTCAAGAAGTTAAAGGACACATGGGCCCTAGTTGATCCTGGCGTTGAACGGCTAGGTGAGAGGATTCCCGTGGTGGAGGCCGGGTCCAACCTCACCTACTTAGGAATCAAGATTTCACCATGGAAAGTTATAGACATCACACACGTTCGAGCAAATATTACGTGCTCACTAACTAGATTGTGTAAAATTCCAGCTAAGCCTTATCAGAAACTTGCACTCCTAAGTAACCACCTAGTCCCCCACTACATGCACCAGTTGGTGTTGGCCGTGCCAACAATTACTACTTTGCGTGCGAGAAATGCGTGTAGCAATTAAACAATTCATGCACTTACCATCCTCGATCACTAATGGAGTTATTTATTGTGGTAAGGGAGACGGGGGGCTAGGCTTCCCTAAGCTGGAACACCTAGTAACGAGAGTGAGTCTTGGGGCCGGTCTCAAGTTTACTAGTTCGAATGATCCGGCTGTTCGAGCCCTCTCCGGATGCGCTACCACTATTGCTCGTCTCCAGCGGTTGGCGCTATCTGCAAGACTACCATATCCTTATACAACAACCGACCTAAAACAATACAAGTTTAGAACGCAAAAAGAGGAGCTCAAAAGATGGTCGGCACTTCAGTCTCAGGGACGGGCAGTTGATTCATTGGCTGGTGATAAGGTGGGAAATGCTATCTTCTATAATCCCACCCTGCTGAAGCCATGTCGATTCACGACAGCCCTGCAGTTTCGAACTAATACTGCAGGGAATAGAACCAGCCTCAACTGCGCCATACCACAGGTGGATTTGAACTGCCGTAAGTGTGGAGCGGCTAAGGAGACGCTAGGACACATTTCAGGCCAGTGCATACTTACGAAGGCAGCCAGACATGATGAGATACGGGACCTCATGATGGACAGAATCATGGAAATGGATAAAACAGCAGACGTTACCAAAGAACCTGAACTCCACAGCGTCAACGGGAAACTTAAACCCGACCTGGTCATTAAGAACCAGAGAGGGGTCTTTGTGGTCGACGTCACAGTCCGCCATGAAGATGAGGATTACCTTAAGATCGCCAAGGAAGAAAAACAAGAAAAGTATGGTATTCTTCTGCCAGCAATGCAGCAGGAAAGAGGTGCCCCTACTGCTGAAGTCCTGCCCATTGTTGTTGGGACTCGAGGAGCCATGCCTACCGACACGATCAAATGCCTTCAAAAACTGGGCATGGGAAGAAGTTATCATAAGACCATATCCCTGATGGCGCTCAGGAGCTCTATCACTCCTTTTTGGATTATCAGGGACAAATTCTCTAGCATCATGGGCAGGCGACCTGTTTACGTTGGGGGGGGGGATCACAACCTTCTCCTAACCAGAGTAGGTTCCCCTGCCAAGTAACAGGCGAGGGCCATGGAGTTCGGCCCTCGGTTGGAATAGCCCACTCTTCATATAATATTTTTAATGTTAATTCTTAATCCTTTTGCATTTTGCTAATATATATTTAATACCTTTTTTATTGGCCCTATACACCGCCTTTGTTATTGTTAACTATTATTTTAAGTCCCTAACTTTATTTGTTATTTAATTCTTAATGGATTTTATGCGGCCTTTTACACCGCCATTGTTACAAATTTTGTTATATTTTACCTGTGTTATAATAATTGTTACACAATTTTAAACCGTACATATACTTTTTTATTATATATTATTATATTATTATGTTTTGGCGTTTGTACATGTGTACAATTTTACTTTTATCGTATATGTACGGATTCTATTATCCTTGTGAATCTAAGTTTAAGGAATATATTAGGAATTTTTAATTGTAAATGAAGAGTGGTGCGAGTCGAGGGTGGTTCCCCCGGCGGCGGGTCGACTAATGTCGAGTGGACGCCTCCGCGAGGCCTTTCCTGGTAACGCACAACACTAGTGCGGCTAAGATCCACCCCCAATTAAGGGGTCCCGCTTGCGCTGATTTCCAAGAAAGAACTTTCCCGTTCCCAAGGGATAGTGAAGAATTTTAATTTATGACGGAAGGCGAAATGCGAGCAGCCTTTCTTCATTTATGCTCTCGCATCATGGGTTACCACGCCCAATAAGTGGGAAGTTGGTGCTCGACGTTGTCTCAATCTTGCACCTAGTTGATGACTCCGGCCTTTAACCCTAGGCTTTCATGCCTAGGGCACTGGCTAGGTCCGGTTATTGCCACCTGAGAGTCGGGCAACGAGTGGGTTTACCACTCGGCCAAACGTCAGCGGAGGAATCCCCCGGGGTTAGCCGCCCTTGGAGGGTTATGAATTGGCTTTCGATTCTGTAAGAAGAGCCTCGGACTTCAGAGAGAACGACCCCGCTCTTCATCGTAGGCTTCGGCCACGGCAGGGGGTCGCTGATGACGACAGCGATGACAAGGAATTGTATATATAAAAGCTCCCATTCAAATCTCATTCCTGCCCTACATGTCTCCATAGTGGCACGGGGAGTTACGTCGCACTTAGCTTAAGTGATATTATTTATCATCACAAGGAGAAACACTCTTTACTTCCATTAAGCTTCCAGTGTACTAAGTGCGACAAACTTTATAAAGGGAAGCATGCGGCTCAGTGCCATCTTGTTAAGTGCACTGTTCCAAAAACTATTTTGGCCTATAAACGTCATCTGTGCGAGGACTCATTTGGTACAGCGGTAGGTCTTCCGCCATCCCTTTGCAAGAAACACCGAAAGGATTGCCTCAGTCCCGATGCCGATGTCGGCTGGGAGAGTCTTCTCTCGGGAAGATATTGAGGTCATGCTTCAGCTTGAAGTCACGTTAAGAGGGGATGCACGCATCGCTATGAAGATGGCGGCGCAGTCGAAGATCAAGGCTGCCAAGCAGGTAAGAGAACCCGCTTACATTGCCAAACGAGATGCACGACTTGAAATGATAGCCAGTAAGAGCTCAGCATTCCAGATTCGAAAGCTCAAAGATACCTGGGATTTAATAGATCCCGGCATGGAACGGCTGGGTGAGAGGATTCCCGTGGTGGGGGCCGGGTCTATTTAGGAGTAAATATATCGCCATGGAGCGGGATCGACACGAAGCTCACTCGTTCGAGCTTGAGCAGCTCCTTGGCGAGGTTCAGTAAGTTATCCCTTAAACCTAATCAGAAGCTTACTCTCCTAAAGGATTACCTAGTACCCCATCAGCTGGTTTTAGCCGTGCCAGCTATCTCTACACTGAGAGAATGGATCAAGAAATGAGGGTAGCAATAAAGCAATTCATGCACTTGCCGATGTGCATTACTAACGGTATTATATACTGCGGCAAGGGAGACGGGGGTCTAGGAGTTCCAAAGCTGGAGCACCTTGTGACTAGAGTGAGTCTTGGTGCCGGACTCAGGTTTGTACAGTCCAATTATCCAGCCATTCGTGCCCTCCTTGGAAGTGCCAGCACGACTGCACGTCTCGAGCAGCTGGCAAAATCCGCGAGATTGCCATTTCCATACACTGCGGCAGATCTGAGACAATTCAAAACTCGCATGCAGGAGGAGCTGAAAAGATGGTCGGCACAGATGGGCCAGGGGCGGGCGGTTGACAGCCTGGCTGGAGACAAAGTGGGGAACTCCTTTTTGTATGACCCCACGCTGTTAAAACCATGTCTGTTTATAACAGCCCTGCAGCCACGTACAAACACTGGAGGAAACAGGACCAGCCTCTACCGCGCCATACCTCAGGCGGATCTGAGTTGCCGTAAATGTGCTGCGGCCAAGGAGACACTCGCACACATTTTAGGCCAATGCACATTTACTAAGGCGGCTACAATCCGTCGCCATAATGAGATACGTGATCTCATTATAGACAAAGTAATGGAAAACGACAAAGCCGCAAAAGTTACCAAGGAACCCGAACTCCTACGAGACATGGGGAAACTCAAACCCGATCTGGTTATAAAGAACCGGGCCGGGGTCTTTGTGGTCGACGTGACGGTCCGCCATCTTCTACTATAAAAATTTGTGATTCCTCGTTGTCGTCAACCAATTTGTCGTCAAAAATGACGTCATCAACAATGTCAACAAATATTTGTTTACACGGCATTGTTGTGGAACACAACAATGTCGAGTAAACAAATATAACGCTTCACAACAAAGAAATCAAAAAATATCAAGCCAGTCGCATTATCACTGCTCCAGAAGGAGCACTTCGCATTCTTGAATATTGACTGACAGTTGACCTAAAACATCAGAAAAGTGAAAGAAGAAGTTATCAAGTATTTGAAGTACCAACTCTAACAACTCCTACAAGGTAAACTGATACTCATTCGATATATTACGATTACGAAAACTATTATGAAAACTGACTTTATGATCGATTTTAAGACGAAGATTTGCAGGGGTGGGGCTGGACGTAAAAAGTTGACTGA